AGCGGACATTCATGCAATAAACGTGGACATTTAAAACGCTCACGATTGGTAAATGTTGACCAGCTGTAAATATCGGTGTACTTGTATGTATGTATAAGTAGAGCGCCACATAAAAATACTTACAGATATATGAAGAGTAGTAATGAACCACACGCTACCAGCACAACGACAGCCACAGCAAAAGTACCGCAACTTTCGAAATAAATGCACAACTCAATTTTTATATACTCACGAACTTATATATGTACGTGTATGTATGTGTACTCGTATGAGAGTGTATCGATATTTCTTCTTTCTTGAATAGCTGATAGTTTTCGTAGAAATTCCTTTTCCTCACATTTGTATGCACAATATTTCTCTTTATTTGCCATAAACCTTAATAAACCGTACGTGCATTTGAAGTTTTATGAAATTATACATATATATATGTATGAACATATGCTTGAGGCCGTTTGGGTGCATGAAATGAAAATAAATAGTATCGTTTGTGCTATAATAATTTCACAAATTCATACACTTGCCCCACTTTGCATAAACAGAAGTTCAGAGAAGAAGAAGAGTTGCTTTTAAGGCAGAATAAATTATCTATATTATGAGCCAAGCTTAAGGCAGGGAGGCATACAGTACCCATAGAGTTCTTGCAGGGCAAAATACTATTTGCTAACTAGTAGCCAAAATGTAAACCAGATTTTTACACCAACTAGTTCATCTTCCATCTACTTTCCATGTAAGCAACGGTATTTTTAGCACGGCGATGTCGTAAATACTGTCAATTTGCCAATCTAAGCATCAGCTGCATACTAGTTTTATACCACTTCATATACACCAATCAAAATATTAGTCCGTCCATACCAGTTTAATTGATTCCGGCATTCAAAACGGTTGAACCGATTTTAAAGATTTTTCTTTGTGAGAATTTAGGTAGATTGGGGAATGGTTGCAAAAAATTCCTACCACGGGAAATTGACTAAGGACCGACTTAACTTGAAGCTTGATCAGATTATGTCATTGTCCGCAAAAATACTTTCAAGATCAAGATCTGAAGTCGTATTTACAACGGGAGTTCCCTTCCTTTATGACTCTCTCAATAGTGCTGGATACTCATCACCAACCAAATATCCGCACCAAACTTTACAGAAGGCATTTGATGACAGAATGAAGGCAGAAAATCCAAACTAATATCAGCATTACGAGGTGTGACAATAAAGTAATGGGACTGATTATAATGCCGCGATTATGGTAACCCTGCGACCTTGAAATTCTCTTTCCCTTCTCCCGGCATCCTTTTCCTCTCTATTGATATATTTGCTATCGCTCTAGCTTGTTTAGCTTTATCTGCTCTGTCGTGTTGACTAAACGTGAGTTCGTAGTGCTCGCCACGAAAATGGAAATTATTGCCTTTTTTGATAGCCGTAATATCGTCCACAAAGAATTTCTTCCATCGAGGCCAACCGTAAATCAAGTATACTATCAGCAAGTGCTCGAAAGATTGCGAAAACGAGTCAACAAGGTGCGCTCAGACATCGCTCGTACCTAAATCCCTCCACACGACAATGCGCCGTGTTACACCGCTCACAGCGGGTCCCAGTATTTGGCCTCTAAACGGATCTCCGTATTGCAACAACCGCCTTGTTCGCTCGATATGTTACTCTGTGACGTTTTTTGCTCCCTAAAACAAAATCAGCGGTCAAAGGAACCCATTTTGAGTCGATTGAAGACAATCAGGCGGCCGTGACGAGGGGACTACTTTAAAGGGGATGGCAGAGTTGTAGAAAAATTTTAAAATATACGGTTTTTATGGAATCAGTTTCATAACTTAATTGTCACACCTCTCATAGTATCAGACCAGCTTTAATATAATACTTGAGGTAATTTTCTAATACGAGAACACTTTAAAAGTTTATGGCAGAAGCAGTTAAATTTAAAACTGTTTACCTTCTATATATATATTTATACATATATGTATTTGCATATTAATTACTTATTCCACTTACACTGAGAGAGCAAATGGTGCTAAATAAAAACTTTGTTCGCCTCCCATCCACACCCACAACCACGAAGTGCATTCATTGTGCATTCAATTGAGTAAATGTTATAGCATTATTCACACCATCTCGTCCACCTTTGACCTTCAGTCTACATAGAACGAGTGAATTAAAAATAATAATAATAACTTATTTTTAAACAGTGTGAGCTAATACATGTGCATCGGAAGAAGAGAGATACAAAGGAAAGCAGTTAATTAGACTTTTTCCACTCAAAATGTGAACTGTTGGTGTTCACATAGCCGTATTCACCGTTGCCATTAAAGCCATGCAGAATATTAGATTATGCAAAAACCGGGTATTTATTCTCTTTAACTAATTAATTTGATTAAAGTAGAATAAAGTAGAAAATATAAATTTTTATAAGACCAAGCAATGAATGAAATTATGTGACGTCACTATTTATACTCACTCCATAACATTTTGAGGCCATCGATGTGGGTTTCGTGCAACTTTTATTCAACTAATTTTAATTGCACAGTTTATTTTGTATTTTACATTATTGTATACATACTACCAATGGGCAAGAAGTTCAGCGAGAAAAGTTCAAAATGTTCAAGCACAAAGCAAAAAAATATATTTAACATTTAGCCTTTGGTTTTTAGCCTTTGCTTAATACCATTTGTTGGGGTGTCCATGTGCTTGCTTCATTTACTGTTCGTTTAACATTTTTCCTAACTTTTGGTCTTTTGCCCAATACCAACAATTGTTAACCACATATGGCACTTGACCAAAATTATTTCTCACCAGCAGAAAATTATAACAATTCATGAGATGTTGCCACGAGGGGCGGTTGATAAGTTCGTGGCCTAAAGTACTTAATCAAATGTATGGTTTTGATTTTTATTTCTTAATATAGTGTCCTTGAAGTGAAATACATTTTTAACATAGTGCATACATTGTCTTTGTACAATACCACTGAAATAATATTCTTGAGATTTCTTTTCAAAAGGCATGACCGCTTTCAACTTCGTCCTTGTAACTACTTTTATAAATTTGCAAAAAAGATAAAAGTCACTGGGAGCCATTTCCGAACTGTAGGGCGGATGGTCAATTTCTGTAAATCCAGTAGCTTTTAAGCTTGCAAACCGAGCGATGTGAACGGTTGCATTGTCTTGAAGAAACAGCACTGCGTTCGTTAACATGCCATGCCACTCCTGTATGACTGCTACACGTACCCGTATCGCCTGTCTCAACACATTAACGTAATACTGGCCATTTAATGTAGTTCACTTTGGCGACTAATCTATTAATTATATTTCCTTGCTATACCAGAAACTGGTAGGCATAACCTTCGATTACGACTTTTCCACTTTGGATATTTTTGATGCCTTTCCACTTTTTTGTTCACTGCAGCGACTATCGTTTGGACTCAAGATTCTACTGACAAATCCAAGTGGCATCAACTGTTACAAGCCGGTTGCAAATTTCATCTAAATTATCTTGGTACAACTCCAAAAATTATTTACAACCCTCCAAACGTCGCTGCTTGTCGAGCGGCGTGACCTATCGCTGTATTCAGCACGCAGCTTGTTCTCCAGCTCTTTCTTTGCTAAACCGTAATCCTTCTACTATCTGCCACAATTTACTCGTATTCTTTGATCAACCAGTACAAATTTTTCGACTTATTTTCGGTAATAACCGTCATTGTGCGCCCTGGGCGAGGTTATCTTCACAGGTCTTTCTTCTTTGTTAGATCAGCTATGGTACTCTTTTTGCAATGTTATATGAAGGGGCAGGAGGCTAAAAACCCGATGACATCGCTTTAAAAAATTCTTTTGGCGGTACTACCTTCAATTCAACTACAGCACGGTACTCCTAATTGCGCCCCTCGTACTTTGATTGGGTCCTTGAACAACAAGCAGTGGACAACAAATTTTCGAAAAAATTTTTATTCAGTAACAAGGCACATTTCACACTCAGGTGGTACGTAGATAAGTCAAATCGTCGCATTTGGATCGCCAAGACTCCTCGAACAATTAATGAGAGACCATTAAAAAATAAATAAAATATCCTTGCTTTATGGTGAACTTTTTGGTCCTGAGGTATGATTGGATCTAAAATCTTCGAACACGACAACTGCGGGACTACCACTGTTATTCTGAGCAATTGAAGAAGACAACTTGAATAATATGTGGTTTCAACAAGATGATGCCACATGCCACACAACATGGCTGACTTCATTGCGAGAGAAATTTCCCAGCTGCGTCATCGCTCTTCTTGACTATGCCAACTGGCCACAGTTTGACTTTTTTGTGGGGCTACACGAAGAGTCATGCTTCTTCGATAATTGGTACTCTCGGCTGGATCTTATGGGAGAAAGCCGCTGTCGTCACTTGGCAGAAATCATTTTTAAATCATAACGATAAATCCTTATCATTATTATAACATTAAATTATATGCATTTTAGTTCGTATTGAAAACCACATGTCAAATAAAACACCCTTTTGTATATAAATAGTCAAATTAAGTAGAAGTTATGAATTTAGTTTAGTTTTATTTTATGCTAAAATCTGTTTTGCAAAGAAAAGGTAAAAAAATCACTAGAGAAATAGTGAGCTTAGACTACTTACATAGCGAAGCGCTTAAGGGCCTTCAAATTTCTCTGAAATCTATTTTATACACTCCTTATTCTCTTGCGAGCTGAGTCCAATGTTTCTGCTATTCCTTGTTACCTGCTACATTTTTTCAAGTTTTTTTGTTTTATTTATTTTTTAATTTCATGATTAAAGCAACGTTTTATATATTTATTTATTTTCAAAAACATACATACAAATTTACCTGAATTTTATGCTTATCGCCGTTTCATATGCAAATTCACTTTTCGTGAGAGTCAACACCGGCACATTTACTTTGATGTTTGTGCATATATCAATGTGATAATGTACATATATATATTTATATACATGTACGAGTATATATGTAATTTACAGTTATATGTACTTATTTACTTACCCGATCGTCCGACAGATATTGTCTGTACGGCAGTAGTGGCTGATAGTGATTTATCTGTGGGCAACGCTGCCGGCGGTACTGGCAGCGGGCCAACTGTCGACGTGGTCGTTAGGTCGCAACATTCACGTTCGGGAAACTCACTGCAACGCACTAAGTGCAGTACACCGAATAGAGCGACCCAGGTGCTGAGACAGCAGCAGGTGAGCATTTTGAGATTTTTTATTTTGAAACGCGTCATCTTACCGCCACTGGGAATTTATATATGTTGGATCTATGGTGTTGTAGCACAACTGTTGAAAATGTAACTGTTGTTATTGCTGGTGTTGTTGGCGATATATTTGTATTTTTTAGAGTAAAGTGATATTAAAGCGTTGGGTATTGCAGTAACTATTTTTGATGTTGTTGTTTTTTATTTTGTAGTTCCACAAGCGACATTATTTACGCTCGTCAAAGTATTTCTTTACATACAATTGGTATTCGTTTGTTGTTGTTTAATACATTGTTGTTGTGTTCATGTATTTTAGGTGCTTCATTTAATGAATTTTTTCTTTATCCTTAAGCGCTTTGAAATTATTTTAATATTTTTGAGGGGACTTCATAATGCTGTAAATAGGTTTTAATAAATAATAACTGTTTTCCTCACTTTTTTTTTGCTGGCGGAACCATTCAAAGGCGCACACTAACCGGGGAAAATATTTTTGATTAAAAATATTCCATTGATAGATATTTCAATTGCGCATAAAATAGATGGAGTAGATTAATAAAATTGAAATAAAAATTGTTTTTTTTTTACTGTTATCATCTGTTTATAAAAGGATAAGGAAGAATTATTTCCCTCTCACTAGTAAAAGGTTTTGTACACACATTAACGATAATTTTTGCAACGTTTTAGGCATAAAAAATTCCGAAAATTTATAATTATTTCAAATAATTAAAATTAAAATATTGAAAATAGTTACTTGTTTATCTAATTGAGGTTTTAGCAAAAATGTTTAATTTTTGATTTTCCTTGACTTTTCTTTCAGCGAATAAAGGCAAATAAATCTCAAAAAAAAAAATTTTTTTTCTAGTTATAAAATAAAAGTTTATGTGAGTTTAAATAACCTTTTCAATAAATAGTTTTTAGATTTATTTTAATCCATCGGTGTTTTGCGCTTTTTTGAGATAATTTTATAAGAACACAAAGTTTACTATTGTTGTATTTGTTTTGTAAGGGCTATGATCCAAAAATCAAATCAACTTTTGACCAGTTATTAGAGATGCGCAAAAATTTGATAAAAACTCGTGAAAGAAGAATCGATACATTTCACTTTGTCATAGATTTTAAGGTAGCTTTCGACAGCACAATAAGAAGCTGCCTCTATGCCGCTATGTTTGAAAATAGTATCCCCGAAAAACACCAGAAGGACAGATCAATCGGGAAGGATCTCTTCGAGTAAATCGGTGGCAAGCGAACGAAGAGTCAGGGTGACTCTTTGACTTGTGATTTCTTTAATTTTATGCTGCAGAAAATAGCCAGAGCTGCATAGAGAAGGTATGATATTTTACAAGGCTGTAAATCTACTGGCTTATGCAAATGGTATTGATATTATAGCCCTTAAAACGCGCCGGAATTCTGCTTCCTCCAGACTGTGATCAATCATACATTCATCGCATTCACGACTTGGCTCCCACGTCATTTTTGACAGTCATAACTTTGAAGTCGCAGATACTTTTGTCTATTTTGGAACCAGTATTATTAACAACAGCAACTTGCAGCCTGGAAATCCCACGCAGAACCACTTTTGCCAACAGATGTGACTTTGGACTGAGTAGACAATTGAAAAGTGAACCCCTCTCCCAATGAACGAAAACCCAACTCTACACGACGTTCTACTATATGGCGCAGAAGTGTGGACGTTGTTGACATCTGATGAGAGTTTTCGAGAGAAAAGTTTTGCAAACGATTTATTGTCCTTTGCGCATTGGCAGGCAATGGAACGATGAGCAATATTTCTGCTTTGAGGATAAGGTATTTAAATTCTATGCAGCCTTATTCACTCGAATTTGAATGATTTTTTTATTTCATTTTTTTTGGTAATTTTTTCAATTTATTTAACTTAATCTTTCTTTTTTATTTAATTTAATTTAATTTACTTTTATTTACTTTATTTTATTTGGTTTTATTGTTTTTTTCTACATTTTATTTTATATTATTTTACTTAGTTTTTAACAACAGCAACAAAAATTTGGATACTCCCTAAAACACACTAATCTTCCTGCTCACTGCGAACAGAAATTCACAATAAATATCAAATAAAGAAAACTTTTCTATTTGCAATTTATTTGTTAAACAAATGACTGAGTCGAGAGCCGAGTTGCGAAGGGTGAATAGCCAAAGCCAAACCATAGCAGCAATGAAATAACTTTGCTGTGCCTAATGTTTACTTGGGCAGTGCGCCAACTTTGTCATGGCGTATAAGTAACTTTTATTGTAGTACAAGTAAAATACTCATACAACAAGTAAATTGACAGACACACAAAAACGTACAATTTTGTTGTATTTGAAAGTTTTCGTTTGCGGTTTTTATTATTACTCTTGCCACACTTGTTTGTCCAGGCTTCCAGAGCTCACTCTCTCCTCAATTGCATCATTTCGCCTTACACTTTAGCTTCTGGTTGGCACTTTGTTTTGTGTTACTCTATTTTTTCGTTTGTCCGTTAGTTTGTCTGCTGTTTGCTATTATTGTTTTTGTAGTGCAAATAATAGTATTGTCTTTGTTTGTATTATTGTTTGGTGTTTATTGCTTTCATTGTACAGAGGGTTTAATTCAGTGTTTGGCATTTGTTGTTTGTCACAATGATGATGCTGATGCTGTGACTGATTTGACTTTTGTTTTACATAGATAGTAAGCAATGAGCGATATTGTGGTTAGTGGTGATGAAAAGTTTCCAATTTACATTTATTTGTACTGAATTTGAACTTAAATTGATGATTAAAAAAAATTTGCTAGAAATATTTATTATTAATGGGAAATCATATTTAATTATTCATAAATATAATACTAAATAAAAGTCTTCCACAAAAATTTCTTACAACTTTAGCTGTTAAGATTTCATATAAAACATATAGAGTTTAAGTGGTACAGCCTGAAAGTTTATTCATAGGTTCCATGCATTAACAACCAATCTTTTTATTAATACTTTCCACGGCTCTCCCCGTAGCGCATTAGTCCCTGGAGAAAGCTGCCAAAGTCGTTTTAGCCCTTTGACTGATTGCAGTGCAAATTAGAGAAAATAACATTTACCTTGGCATTGCAAATATTTACCTCATACATACAAATAATTTGCGCTTACTTTGCTGTGTAAAAAATGACGCGACCCTACCAAAGGAAATGCAAATATTTGCGATGTGCACACAAACGAAATACGCGTGAGATGAAGGCAAACAGTTGCATACTAGGATATATACGATACCAAAGTGATTGGTTAGTTTGCATATATTGTCCCAGTGGTGAAGTGTCGTACTGGTCAGTAAAGCACTAGTTGACTACGAGTGCGAAAATTGCACTTGCCCGAATAAAGGTCGATTGCTGGGGTTAGGAATTTTTAGCCGTTTCGGCGTTAATCTTGATGTTTTTTCAACAAATTTGAAGCTAGAGATGATACAATTTATTGGAATTAAATCGAAAATATACTAATTTTTAAACAAAACACATATTTTTTTTGTGCCGGATTTTAACTAGTATAAAACTAGTATATATCTGACAACAGAATGACGTTGAACGTTGAATACCTTCATGTTTGAGTACCAGTCCTGTTAATCATGAAATAACCATGACTAGGAGTACTTGTGCATCTTTGTATAGTTGTTCCTAAGAAATTTCTGACTGGATAATTTTTTTTTTGCAGTTTATCTTTAGATGTATGGCTGTACGAAACGATGGTAATGGAGATAGCTGAGTGATAAGAAAAAGTTGTGTGTAACTTAAAAGCCGATAAAGTACGTCGGAAAATTGTCAACTAAAAATGTTCATATGTATAAACAGAAAAACAGACAAACAACAAATATTTAAGTAAGCCATCAGACGAAGACAATCAGTTTAATTGCAAGGAAGCGTGGCACAAAATGAAAAAAAAAAAAAACAACAAAAAAATTATTCTGTAGAATTCCAGGTGAAAGGTAGTAGCTGAAAGTAATTTTATAAATACATACATAAATATTTACATTTTGAAAATATTTTAAATAAACCTTTTTTGTTAAATAAATATTTTAATTTAGCGAAAATTTGGTATTAAAAAAAATGCAATGCCCTGAAGAAGAATATAGGAAGTCATGGTAATATTATTTGTTTAATAATATTATATTTTACATCTAGCCATATTTTCTGTTTCACCTAATAATATTTTGTGTCTAGCCATATTTAATGTCTGACAATTTTTGTGCCCAAAAATATGTGTTTAACTCTTGTTGTTATTGATTGGTCTAAAGATATTTTATGTCTAGCCATATTTTATGTCTGACCATTTATTATGTCTAAAATATACCTATGACTTTGTTATATTATCTTTTTGTTATTTTTTGGTAATAACATTTCGTGTCTAGCCATATTTATTGGCTGGGCATTTTTTGTGTCTGGAAATATGTTTTGTTGTCTTGTTGTGTCATTGCTTGGTCTAATAATAATTTTCGTCTAGCCATATTTTTATGCCCGGCCTGGCAAACAATATATTCTATAAGAAAGAATATTCTTATAATCTAATTCTAGAAATATTCATATTTCAGTGTTCAAGTGCGAGTTTCCTTATAACCACACCGTCATAGCAACTCCAGCAAACCAAATAGTTAAGGTGGCGGAAGTATTTGTTTGCGTAACATTAAAAGCGTTAAAATGAAAGGTGAAACGCAATATATATATATGAATGTAAACAGGTATATGGTACCATTAAATATCGACGTCTTAAATGCAAAAACGTTTGCAACACCTCAAAGAGTTGTGTTTGCTGCACATAAAGATTGCCACTACGCTATGCGCCAGCGCACCGCCAGTCAAGCGTGTAAATGCAAATATGCACACAATATACTACACACATTTATATATATATATAAAAAGTGGCGGCAGAACTCAATTCAACCTTACATGCATGCTGCTGAGCTACATCGAACTTTCGTCTCCCTCTCTCTTTCCCTTACATTTCAGCTGCGCTGTCGCAGTGTCTGTGTGGCGACACATCGCCTTCGCACGAGTTATTTGTATGCACTTAACGAGGCAGTGAGCAACGCAATTACTTTTTCTTTTTCTTTTGAGTTTATGTCTTTTTTACTTTTAGTTCTTTTTTTGTTTTTCTTTTCCCTTTACGTTTGCACTTTTGCGGCGCGTGCGGCACGTTGCAAATGAAATAAAGCGTTGTCATGATGTAAGTTCGATATGCACGTGCAACGAGATGAGCTCGCTAGCATTCGCAGCCCTTTGTAAATATGCGTAAGTACATATACTTCTGTATACATAAGTATATATG